CATCTATTGTTCGTACCCTGGGAAAATGCACAAGGAGGATGGCTTAGACAGCAATGAATTCATCCCTTGGCCTTGGTAACACCTGCATGTCTCTGGCGTGCAAACAGCAACACGTCTTTTACGGGTTGTTTGAGACCACCTCTAAGCGGTACATTAGACGCATCACACAGTAAAGAACCCACCTTGTTATAAAAGTAAGAGAGCTAAAACAGCTGGTCAGATCACTGGGGTGGAACTGTCTTAACTGCCACACACAGTGGTCTCCGAAGGCTCGTCTTCATATTTTTGTATTTTTCTAAGGTAGTTCATTTCTTCTTTGTGGCTTTGTTTTTTCATGATTATGTTGAGTTGTTTTTGTGATTTTATGGACTTGATTGTTTGAATAAAATTCTGGTTGATTGTGAAGTTGAACAGTGACTGTTTTGTGGTTTCACTTTTACACACATTAACAGACCTGGGGAGATGAGAGAACAACGAGCAACAGGTAGCAAATATCTCGTTTCGCAACACTGTCTATGTAAATAGTAAAGATGTAGACTGTTGGGATACGGGGTTTGGCTCTTTGTGGGGATTTCTGTTGCCTGCTGCTTCCTTTTTCATCCACTAGATCAGGGGTGGGCAATCCTGGAGGGCCGGTGTCCTGCAACTCTTAGATGTCTCCCTGGTCCAACACACTTGAATCCAGCAGCTGAATCACATCCTACGTGTAGTCAGGTTCTCCAGAGTCCTGCTAACGACCTCATTATTTGACTCAGGTGTGGTGAAGCAGAGACGCATCTAAAAGTTACAGGAGACCCTCGAGGACTGGAGTTGCCCACCTCTGCACTAGATCAATGGTCCCCAACCTTTTTACCACCACGGACCGGTCAAGGCTTGACAATTTTACTGCGGCCCGGGGTGGCTCGACACTGCCCTAACGCTCTCTGACTTTGGTTGCTACGGTAATGTTTACACATCCCTTCAAAATGAGATACAGATGTGCCACAAAAACAAACCTTTATTTTCATGAAAATTTTAACTCTATAACGACAAATCAACGGGAGCCTTGAGCTCGTTTCTCTGCAACGAGACGGTCCCACCTGGGAGTGATGGGAGACTATAACACTCGAGGTGTGTTGCTTAAGCACAGGGTGCTTGTACTAGTATTTACCAAAATAAATAAAATAAAATTCTTAAAATATAACAAAAAATAGGATTCTTCAGTGTTAATCAGGATTTGGTGAAATTTCAAACATTACAATAAAAAAATAAAAGCACATTTTCTAAAGTTGTTACACTTTTCCCTCAGGTGTTTCCTTGGGACGCCTTGGAAATACCCCTGTGAAGCTCGAGTTCCTGGCTTTCTGGATTTCTCCCCTCGTGATGCTGTGGATTGGTACCCACAAGGAACTGGTTGCCCGAGTTCCTTTTTGCCTCTGAAGATGAACCATAAACCGTTCCTGGATTCTCAGCTGGCAGTTGGTTTGCTCCTCATTCCTCCTCACCTGAACTTACCTGTCTGCCCTCCAGAGATGGAGGGTGAGTTCTTTGGTGGTAGATGGTGGAGACT